AAGCAACACCTTCCCCGAGCAACTTCTCTCTACAATTTTCTGCAATTAATATATATATATATATCCAAATCCATGCCAAGTGAAGCAGGTTTCTGACAGAACGCAGCTGAAACTCTTATGGTGGTGGGAGCGAAGAATTTGTCGGTGTAACTTCACTGTTGATGCAAAGCAAGCGTTGAAGACTTCCTCTGCGACTTGTGTGCCCAACCCACGAGGCTCAAAAGAAACTAGTGCAACTCAAGGAGGGTGGGTTGGTTGCCCAGCAAACATGCAAATGCATCTTGACAATCAGCCCTGCAATGTACCAGTACCGCGGCTTCTGAAAATTGCAATGCCTAATTTGAACAAATTCTAACATCTGGTGATCTGGCATCTCATTATCTGCGTGCATAGTGGTGAGGATTTCTACTGTGACTGTAGCCTTCCACTCCAAAAGCTTGGGCTCTTGGTCCACTGCACGGTGCAACGCCCACAAATTCGGGAAGTTTTGCTGGACATAGCCTGCTGGAATACAATCGATCACTCCGCTTGAAATCCAGCAATGGCCCTTCAAATCGCTAGGTCAGCTATGCAAAGATCAGGGGACTGGATGCGCACCATTACCATCTTTCAAGCAAGGTCTCAAACCCTTTAACGCAGTCACTTCTTTCAACGCGCCCGTTCGGTGAGCCGAACAGCGCCATGCGAGTGGTCTTCCGCTGGAGGAATCCGATGACATCCGATGACATCCGCATGGTCTCCGAGATGTCCGTGAGTCCGTCGGCTTCATCACACGTCAGAAAGAGATCACTAGGGCATCACTCGGCCATATATTGGGTCTGGTTCAGAACTCCCTTTCCGTCCACAAGAGCTGGTAATATGCCAAAGGTCAATGCACCTGAGGCGTACATTGTAGTAAATCCGAGCATTCTCAAATAGAACATCGGCCATGAACAAAGCAACTCTCGAGCACTCTGCGCGCCAATAGTGGTGGTCAAGATAGATGAGCTTCAGAAAGGGCGCTGCCATGGGCACTGGTGCTGCAAATACTGGTGAGATGCGTGCTTTCTTCAGCCAGCCAAATCATGAGCAACAACCTGCTGAGGGCCTAACGCAAATATGCTCCGTGAGCATCCCCTGCAAGGCCACAAGGAGTAACGTGGTGCTTTCGTTGCTCTTGCACAATTGCACAATTCTGTACTTTGGATGCTTCCAAAGTCTTCTGCAGGATGAAACTGGGCGTTGCACAAGCTGGCCGTCGTAGTTCTTCCTGGTGGCTTCCATGTCCTGCGACTTGGTCTGGACTCTTGAATGAACGTCTTAATAACTCAACGACACTGAACGCTCCTTGAAAGCATTCGAAATCTGTTTCCAAAGAAGCAATGCATGAAAGGTCATGAAGACAGGGAAGCCAAACGAAGCCACCAAAGCAAAGGTAGAGTGGAAAGCCAAACGAAGCCAACCAAAATCTGAGATTCTCGAGAAGCCGACATTGTCCGGGGTCCTCCCGGAGACTAGCCAATTCCTGTTTGGTGGCGGAGACCTGACCAACAGTCTCCGAGACTTGTGACAGTCTTGTATTGTGGATTATTGAATTGTAGACATTTGTAGACTACTTTGCGAAGCGTACAATGCAAAAGAACCATGGCATATCATCGAACACTGTATCTTGTAACTTGTAAGATTTTCTGAATCTCACTCCATCAATCTATAAGCACCATGACCACCCTTCTCAACGGATCTTGCTGCTTGCTCCAGTGGCCTGGTTGGAAAGGTTCTGTTTCTCCTGGCGCTGCACAATACAATTTTTTGCAAAAATGTGTTCTTGTAGCGACGCTCTACAATGATCATCAATTATCCACAGTATCTATTTAGGGAACATTGATTTCAACATCGTTTCGATCCTTGCTTCACATCAGCTCTGCTTGCCCTGCCTCTTCCTGCCGCTGGATCTGGTCGTGGAAGTCCTGCCTCGGGGCCACCCATCTGAAACCGTCTGTGGCTGCACGTTGTTTTGAAACACTAAAAGCATCCAAAGGCTCCAGACACATTCAAACCCATCTCCACAGCTTTGGTATCCGCAATGAGCATCTGCAAGGTGCCATGCCCAAAAGTTCATGTTTACTGCATGCAAAAACGTTTGTTTGAAACAAAACTGAAGCAAACAGTTGCCATCCAGTTCCTTCAGCGGTGTGCATCGCATTGCTTCGTGAATAACGATTTTATCAATCCTTGGAAGAGATGGACAGTACCCACCGATCGAATGCTTTGCTCGTTCAGCCTGCTTCTGCAATCGAAGCACGTGCTGCTCGTAGACTTTCCGCACTGCCAGCTCCCAGGCATCCAAGGTCTGGCAGTTGGACTCAACTAAGGTGTGCGTTTGAAAAAAATATGTGTGTGTGTCACTTACCATTCCTAAGGACAAGACCACAGCATGCTAATTCATCTTAAAAGTCTAATGCGTGTACCGCAACAGGGTCCCACAAAGGTATGTTGTGTGACCCCCGCCAAGGGGCGCTTCTTGCACAGGCCCTTAAGGGTGAACGTTCACCGGCCATTCGTCTTTGCTTGAACATCACTGGCTCAGCTTTTTGGTCGAGATCGCAGATATGATGCTGCAGAACCCACTGAAACAACTTTCCAGAGAATGTCACGACATGTGGCTAATGTAATGCTAACGCAATCGCTTCGACGTTTCATACATTCTGATTCCCTTGATTTTAATCAATTTTAAACTCTTTCTCAACCACATCGGCATACAAACCTTGATCCACCCCGACTTCTTCGGCAACCCCGTGGAGCTGGAGCCCGTGGAGGATATGCACCTCCTAGGGTTTGATGTGGATCTCACTCAACGTACAATTGCCTACATCCCACCCAATGCGACATGGAAGATCAGGGATCATGCTTCTGCAGGATCCCAACGACTGAGCCTGTCTGGCCCCACTTCACGCGCACACCTCACACATCACTACACCTACCCGCCCTCGGCAAATGAGCGAGCGCTTGATCAATTAGCACACCTATATGCCCAAAAGGGGCATGATTTGGCACGTTGCTTGCGATTGATTCGCGGAAAAAAGTGAAAGCTGACCATCTCACCTGACAGATCGACTTCGCCCTGCACATGCGGTTGTGTTTGCCATGTTGGTCGCTTCCCATGAAGAAGCCCCTGCTGAAGTTGCCGTCTTTGTTCATTGTGCCCACACCTTCTTTCCACTCAGGGGGCGCCGAAAGACGGCTTTTTTTTGGTGTGTGTATGTCACTTCCTGTTCCAAAGGACAAGACCACAGCATGCTAATTCATCTTAAAGGTCTATTGCGTCCCCATTTGACGATGTACAGACAGCAGGGGGCAGTGATCCTTTCAACAGCCACTGCCTAACAAAGACGCTGTTGATCGGATGTGATATTCGGAGAGGACGCTCTCTGAACGTACCTGCAGAATTTTAACCTTCCTTCTGGTTGAACTGTTGACTACGCCGTTACCCTCATTTTTCCATAAAGTGCTAGTGCGCCCTTGTTGAAACATTCGGTTATTGCAGTTATTGCGGACTCATTCACCCTTCCGCTTTGCAAGTCAAGGTCTAGCTTCAGTAACGTCAAGTGCTAACTTCACGTGGAAGTCATAACTGACAGAGCTCTTGGGAGCATAGATCTAAGTGTCTATATATATATATATAAGTTAATGTATTTATATATAGACCCTGTATGACCCTGTAAACGACTGCAAACTAGTATGATATACAGAGTCGTATCCCACCATATTCCACCATTGATTTTGCTTTGCGTGGGGTGTTGCTGCTCCTGGCAGAGATGATCATGGCTTTGGGTCAACGCAGTCGTGAATGGTTGGCGTACCCTTCGACTATGGAGTAAATGTGATTCAGCTGTTTCGCTTGACTTGCTTGATGTTGTGCAGCTTTTCGCATCCGCTGGTTTTTCACTCATAGGCATCCGGATGACCCCTTGCAATCTGCGAGGAAAACAGCACACGCATTGCTTGCTTTGCTTGCTTGGGCCGACCTTGTTTTTCCCTAGGCTGCCTTTGGGGGATTCGTTGGTCTTAGAGGGATTGGCCCCCCTTGAAATCCACATTGGTAGCGGAGCTAGAGGGCGGACTAGGAAGATCTAGGCTGCCTGCTGCACATTTGCCTGATGGCCGTCGCCGCGCCTGGTGATGGTGGGGCCGCTTTGGCTGATGACGCTGCGGCGCAGATGAGTGCCGCTGATGTGCCGCTCCCGGCGGAGCCAGATCCCTGGCAATCACCGGGGGGAGACCCTTGGACTGGAGGAGGGGTGCATGGAGAGACGGGCTCTCAAGCGGCTGCTCCTTCGCAGTCAGGGAATGGGCAGGGATCCACGATGTCCCCAACAGGTCAACCTGTTTCTTTGGGGCCACATGCAGGACCAGTGAGTCAACCCTCCAACCCACTGGAACCTACCAACTATAACCTGGAAGGGCCTCCAGGAATAGTGGTTCCCTCAACACCCAATGGCATGGCACCCTCAACTGACACAGCCATGAGCGGAACCTCAGCAGCACAAGGCATGATGCCTGGCATGGTACATGTGGGACCATGCCCCTGCCAGGGAGCCACCTGGCCAATGCCACCAGGGTTCATGACGGCACATGGACCTCCAGTTACGGCACCAGCATTCGCACATCCCCATCCATGTTCTGGCACACCTCCTATGGGCTTTGCACCACCGATGGCTGCACATCCATGTATGGGCTTTCCTCCGACCGTTCCATGGTCGACCTTCCCATGGGCATGGCCTCAGGGTATGATGTCATCAATGGGACCTGCACCCTTGCCTGGGCAACAATCGAGCCAGGGCACTGCTGTTGCAGGATCAGGTGATGGAAGTTGGTCCAAGCCGACATCATCCCATGAAGCACTACCCAAAGGTATGAAGATGCCTCAGGGACCACCAGAGCCGCCACCCGATGATGATGATCCTGATGACTCTGCTTCGTCAGCGCATCAAGAAAGAAGGTGATGGTTGGCAGAGACCCAAAAGCTCATTGGGCTCAGTGCGCATCGAAGAGTACTGGGGAGAGAGATCCCGGTATGTCAAATGGAAGCGTACCATCCAAGCTCAGCAGTGTCTCTACGGCTTGGAGTCTCAAGAGCTGGCTATGTTGGTGTATTTGAGCACTCGGAAAGAAGCCAGAGATGTGGTCGAACAACATCCAGTCACTGCCTATACTGGACCAGGAGGCCTTCAGTTGTTGTGGCGGGTGCTTGACGAGGCCTTCGGCGAGTCGGAAGCAGAGTTGTTCGAGAGGGCTGACAAAGAGCTGGAGAAGTATAGAAGAGCACCTGGAGAAAGCATCGCCCACTATTTGGCAGAGATGCGTCGTCTTCGAGCACAGTACTCCAGGGTGGACCCGGACATTAAGCTCTCAGATCGTGCCTGGGCTCAGAAGCTCCTCCAGAAAGCTTCATTGGGTCGAAAAGACAGGTACGATGTGTACTACAGTGCTGGAGCCACCTATGATCCCGTGGCCATTGAAAAGGCCCTTCGTGTCCGATGTCAAAAGACCCATGAAGATGAAAGGCGGACACCCTCCAGAACACCTCATCGAGAACGCGATCGTGATCGAGAAGATGATCCAAAGCCGAACTACTTCAAGAAGAAGAAAGTGTTCATCAAGAAGCGGGTGCACACCACTCACGTGGCAGAAGGAGGAGAAGATGAAGATGAGGAGATGCCAATGGAGCAGAGCCCTCCTGAAGAAGAGCCAGCGGGTGAAGCACCGCCAGATGAAGACGAGGAAGCTGATGAGGAGGAGGACAATGTGACCAGTGATGGCGAGATGGAGGAGGGAGAGCTGAAAGAAGCCTTTGCCGCCGGATGGAAGGCCAAGCAAAAGGTGGCAGACTTTAAGAAGAACAGAGGATGGAAGACCACCGACAAGAAGGGTGAGCGCGGGCACCAGACGATAGATGCCCGAAAGAAGGCCACTACTTGCAGTAGCTGCGGAAAGGCTGGGCACTGGCGAGGAGATCCAGAGTGTCCCAATGTGGCAAATGGAAGAGATCAGCCCCATCAGCCACACAAGAAGGCCACGATGGTCCACTACACCTACATGGTCTCCGGTGGAGGAGACAGCCAATGTCCTCAATGTCATTGGCCGATCTTGGAAACGGCCAAGTTCTGTGGAGAATGTGGTCATGCACTTCATCCTGATGAGCGGATGTCCAGACAACCAAAGAGGCAAGGCGATGATGATGGTTGGGAGGCGGTCGATGAGCCATCAGAGCGCTTTGGCTTTCAGGTCAAGAAGAACACCCTGACCGGAGCCAAGCCCAAGGCGACACCAAAGGCATTGGTTCCTCCGGGCCATGTGCGACTCCAAGGACAAGAACTGATGGCAGCCCTCCCTACCATGACGAAGGAAGAAAAGAAGGCCTTGCAGACTGCTCTCCAGGATGAGGAAGACAAGGACATCGAGAAACGAAGACAGCTGTACAAAGATCTGATGGCCGAGTGGAGCCATTGCGATGACTATGAACCCACTGCCCGGCAATTGTTTCCCGATGATCCTGACTCCACCCGCTTCGCAGCCTGGCAGGCCAGAAGAAAGGGCTATGCGGATCAAGATCCTTCTGCAGCAGCCTCAGGCAGTCAAATGCCTGTTGCACCAGCACCAAAGCAAGACAAACCAAAGGCAGTGAAGGAAAAGGAACTTCTCCAGTTCCGAAGAGAGCTATATGAACAACAACTCCGGCACAATCGGTGCATTCCTTCCACTGCAGCTAGCTGGCCGAATGACGAGCAGAATCGATGTCCACATCACTTTGATGATTTGAAGTGGTCGGCCAATGCAGAAGGACACTTTGCACGCTGCCGTGCCTGCGACCTGAAGCATGTCATCTACTACTCCAACAGGCATGGCACTATGATGGTCTCCATGCACTCGCCACCCGAGGGTGTGGGAGACAAGGCACGAGTCTGGATTCGTGAAGATGAGAGGGCAGCACAGTTCCGATGGGTGAACAAAGGAGGTCCTGTCCAAGAACAAGTCAAATGCCGGGTGACCAAGGATGTGCATGGCCAGTGCATTGAGATCAAGTACCTGACCGGCCAAGAGACGATGGAAGAACTCACCCAGTCGCTGGATGGACCACCGAGGGCCCTGTTGACAGAGTTTTGGTACGAACCAGTGACTGAAGAAGAGCCACCGTCCAATGTCCACTTCATCCAAGCTCAGAAGCCTGGTTTAGCTATTGCGGATTCCGGATGCAGGAATTCGGTTGGAGGAGAAGCTTGGCACCAGCACCTTCAACAAGCACTACAAGAACAAGGAATCCCTTGGATGGAGGTGGCGGAGAAAGAAGTG